CTTTAAGGAGTTTAGACTATCCTAAGTCTCTGTTTGGTACAGGGTTTAGGGTTTAGGATTTAGGGTTTAGGGTTTAGGATTTAGGGTTTAGGGTTTAGGGTTTAGGGTTTAGGATTTAGGGTTTAGGATTTAGGGTTTAGGAATCTATGTCATGAAACAGTAATTGGGTCACCTATACAGGTACACCTCTTTATCCTTTGGGAAAAGGTGATGCAAACCACTGTTTATGGATTTCTGGATATAGCGCTTTAGGGTCTATAGTCTATAGATGCGTACGGTGCATAGGGTACAGCTTTGGAATTGAACACGAAACGGAAAGGAATGGAATGGAAACTGGGGTTTATAGAGATATATATATATATACGTCCATTGACAATGAAGGAATGGAAAACAAAGTGGCTACTGATTAGTGAATCTGTCTGGAGCACATAGAGGCTAATTACTGTTTGGAACCACTCGTCCAAGCTTCAGCGTCGAGAGAAGATTCCCGGCAAATTCCGGGCGCTTGACCAACCCAATCACAGCAGTAGGGCACAAGACGCTTTTCATAAGGCTCCATGTAGGTTCTAACTTCTAACTATAGACTCTAGGCGTTTAGCTAGATATTATGGAATTAGGTAACAAGGCAAGCCCTGATCCAGAAGCGAACTGACACCCCGAAACATAGATCTCTCACGTGTAAACCCCTAATGTTGACTCCACATTGGGGACCCGATCCACATTCATAAAAATCCTCTAACAGCATGCACCGTATGATTACTGCCGCTACCATCTGTCATGTAGGAATCTGCACTCGTTTAGGGTTGAGGGTTTCGGGGTTTTGGCACTAGGTTGAGTTCAATTGATTTACAGAGGCCCTGGTCTGAAACGGTAGAACCTGCGCCACCCTAAGCCCTAAACCCCACCGCCCCTACCTTCCTACACTTTGAACCCTCAACGCTACACCCAAACCCAGAGAGCTTGTACTCAAAACCCTGTGCTAGCCTCCTCTCGTGTCATGCCACGCGCCAATGTCCCTTCTCCAGTCGCCTATGCGTGTCACTCTTCGGGTTCAGAAGAGTTTACATGGACTTGAAAGTAAGCAACATCGCGGCCAAAACTCCATACACAGTTCCATAGTTCTACCTGGTCTGGTGCAGGTAGGGCTTCTGGGTGTAACATTTGGGGCCTCAGTATTTGGAGATTTCGGGATTGCATCGGTTGGTGTCTACAGGTTGGGGTTTCAGAGTCCAAGAACCCAAGTTTTAGACTTTGCCATTGCTTTTTCAAGCATTTAAAGTTCAGGGTTTTGGAGTGGGCTTATATGGGGTTGATTAGGGCGCCCCCTCGTCCTCTGAGAAGTTTAGGCGAGCAATAGTCCAAACTCCTGATATCCCCTTTACTAAACCCTAGGATAGTCCCCAAGATAATCCCCTATGTAACCCCCATTAAGGAGTTTAGGTTCATGTCAGCACTTAGTTCTCAGCCATAAAAGGGGCAACCCTTGTATAACCCCTGATAGTATGATCCCCTAAACCCTAAACCTTAATCCCTAAACCATAAACCTTCAAGCCTAAACACCCAAACCTACACCCTAATCCCTTATTCCCTACAAAGAACCAGCAACTATAGGTTCACGGTTCTTAGGGTAGACCCTCAAACCTAGACCCCCCATAGAACTTGATATCAAGCGCGCAAATCATGAAGGTTGCATGTACCAACATACTCTTCAGAAAATAGTGTCGGGGACCAAAAAAAACCCATCGTCGGGGTACTTGAACATCTGAACTCCAATGCTCACAAGCCCTCCTCTGAGATCCGCGAGAATTCATTGAAACCCAAAGAAACTCCGGTGAAGGGAGGGCTTAGGATTTAGGGTTTAGGGGTTTAGGGGTTAGGGTTTAGGGTTTAGGGCTTAGAATTTAGGGTCTAGGTTTGGAATATGGCACTTGAAGAAACTCTCGCATGAAGCCTCTGGCATGAAGCCCCAAGGCTCCAAATGCATCACCGATGTGGAACGAGTTTAGGGTTTAGGATTGTTTCGGGGTTTAGGGAAACCCCAAGCCCAGAAACTAGTTTTTGCCCTAAACCCTAAACTTCCACAAGAGCGAAACGCTTGGAACCTCTTAGAGTCTCCTCAAAAGCTTCCCAGACCCCTTAAAGGATCCTAAAATTGGAGCCCCCTAATAATCCCCTAGTTTCCCCAATGAAGTAATGGGTTCATGTTGGGGACCTAAACCCTAAACCCTAAGCCCTAAACCTTAAACCCTAAACCCTTCAGTTTTTTGGATCCTTTAGGGGGTCTGGCGTTGTGCGTGTAATCATCTGCTGTTGTCACAGGCAGGGCTGCGGAGGGAACCCCTGTAGTAGGGTTTGGGGTTAAGGGTTTAGGGTTTAGGGTTAAGGGTTTAGAGTTCAGGGTTTAGGGTTTAGGGTCAAGGGTTTAGGGTCAAGGGCTTAGGGTTTAGGGCTGAGGGTTAAGGGTTTAGGGTTCAGGGTTTAGGGTTTAAGCTTTAGGGTTAAGGGCTTAGGTATAAGGGTTTAGGGTATACCTAAACCCCAAACCCTACAAGTAAACCCGAAAGAACCTTGTATACTGCAGGGCTCGGCCCAGGCCCAGTAATAGTAACAAAAACGGGTCATGGTGAATATACCCAAAGCGCGTAAGTAGCATAATGTAGCGGCCTGCGTAAATACACACTTCTGGCCCTAGGTGGCTTGTATGGTTATGGTATAGGGTACCTCGAAAAGATGCTTAAAACCCTAAAGCCCTAATCCTTAACCTGTAGACCCTAAAACGCTACACCCTAAACCCTAAAACACTCCCTACCTTTATAAAAAGTAGGTAGTGCAAGCCCGTAAAGATGTCAAAGCGGCCG